TCCACAAAAACCCTTAAATATTGTTTGCATAAAGTGTCATGTTTTGCATTTGCAGAGAATTGTCAAAACGCCAATTAGAGTGAAATAAGTCTTAACATTAGAAACGGTGTCATTCGTGAGAGTCATATAAACAAAGATAATCTTTAAAACTGTCGATTAGACACTAAAATTGTACTGAAAATTACTGCATAAATAAAAAGATTTTTAAACTTAAAAAGTTAATTTTCTTTTATTGAGGGAGTTCTTAGAAATTATTCAGTAATACAGTATTTAAAAATTTGTAATCACATAACATAAGAACTAAATTTAGATTAAAATTACATTATATTCAAAAATGTAAAAAAATTGATTGTTAAAAAATGATTTTAAAATCAAAAGTACTATGTGGGCAACATTTTTATTTCCCCGATAAACTACACATTAGTTTCAAAAGCTATTCAAAAATGAAACTCAATATCGTTTTAACATAAATTTATGCAAAAACAGAAGGATTTGTAAGAATATATGTTTAAAAATAAAAAATTTGTATTTTTAGAAAATTATTCTTTGATGACTGAACAAATATACAGTCAATTAATTGGATAAATATTTATAAAAATCAATATCAATGTGATTTTAAAGTTAAGAATTTGTAGTCAAGTAAATATCTACTTATACTGTACTCTATTTGTATTGAATTAAATTAATTGAGTGTTTTGTTAAAACGACGAGATTTATAAATAAAAACAAAAAATATTTTTAGAAATTCTCATTAAATGAGAGGAATTTTGGCGAATGAATACAATTGAAGAAATGAAGTAAAAGAAAAAATAACGAAAAACTTGAGCGGAAATCATACAAACAATACATACCTTGAAGTCGTCACTCGACTCCTGTTTGGCAGTAGTCTTGCAGTGAGTCTTGTCTTTAAGTTTCGACAGTTTTCGGCGTTTTTCAGTTGCGATGGTCTGACAGAATCGCATCAACTCCTGAGGCGATGGCAGAACACCATTCATAGCATTCATATTATAATCTAAAACACGTCGAAAACATTTCACTCAAATCGTGAATATCAGGTATATGTGAGACACTACTGACGCAAATGCGAGGCACCGGAGGAGCGCCTGTGCTTTAGTTCACGTCTTGTATTCCGCACTCAAATACAGATCAGATTATATGCATGTCTTTGCATACAGAGTCACACAATACATGAGATAATGTCAGTGCAAACACTCTGGTGTCCTCTTCGAGAGATATTCACGTGAAATGCATTTGACGTGAAAAACAAGTGATTGGAAGCACTGGAAGAGTTGTGTTGGCAATCAATAGCTATGATATGTTGTTCACTGTGTATTGAAACGCATTGCTTACTAAATGAACTGATAATATATCAAAATGTATATCAGGTTACATGTTGTCTAATATACAGACAAAAACATCGCTGAATTGAGAGACAAATAAAAGCTTTGCTTTTCGTTTCAATTTAAGCTCTTCTCTGAAGAGAGAGAGAGAGAGAGAGAGTAAGTGAAAGACAATAATAACTTTGCGATCGCTGTATGTGTGCGCTGGGGATGGGGATGGGATCACATCTGAAAATCACTTACGAATTATAAGGCAATCGACGACTTCCTGAATGGCACTAAAGCGCCAGAAGATCACTCATACCATGACTTCTATGATATCGCAGCGAAATATACACAACTTTTTTTTGAAACAACCGATTTTGCGCGCATTGCAAAACTTATTATATATATCTTTTATCTCCTGTTCCTCTACTCTTCTCTTCACTCAATCGCTGACTACAAGAAGTCTTCAAATCATGAGTCGAGAGAAAACATCTAATGATAATAATAATGGTATTGAAAGCACACAACATAACATCTGTGCCGTCGTTATTACAAACTACAGACATATCGAGAAATACATAATTGTGTGACGAAATGTTGGCTCTCTCTCTCTCTCTCTCTCTCTCTCTCTCTATGAGATACAAGTTCTTTGGGCTCCCAGTGCTGTCTGTATTTGGCATCGAATTACTCGAAAACGGATAGCCTTTCGTGCTGTTGAAGGCGTCTCTCTATTCCTAACTATAGTTAAAGGTTTTAAGTGTAGAGACGAGTGTCTCGTTTGGGACGAACCGCACAGAAAACAGATCATAATTATAGGTATGGATGCGGACGCTCTCTAAGAAGGAGGTACTCATCCAAAAGGCACAGTAATAGCATATTAGCCATACTATCTGTTATGCCGCTCTCTGACCATAGCTTTTGATACCAGTCTCCACTTTAATGATTACATTTTCAGCACTAGAATTAGCTCTACTATAAGGGATTGAAGTGAATAGAGTGTAGTGGCCAACAAGTCCTCTCATTTACTACTCATCCTCAGACTAGACATGTATACCTCATCTCCCGATTAAAAACTTTTGGGTTTGGGTTTTGTATCTAATTTATTGTACAAAACTACTCGTATATCTAGAATATGAAAGATATAATGAAAATGCTGTGAAAATAATATTACTGAATAAAAACCAAAAAAGTGAAACTCAATCCATGAATATTGGATTTCGTGCTGAATATTGTATTCAAGGATACAATAAAAGGATTGCATTATAGCTCTAATAACACTCGTGTACACGATATTGTCATATGAATTGTGAACTCGCATTAAGTGAAATACGATTCGTACAAACAAAACACATTAAATATCCAAAAGTTCAATAATATTCTTGTGATAACCGAAAGAAAATAAATACAATTTGAATAAAATCTGATATAATATACGAGAATCCAAAGATTGCGAAATATAATGTATAGTAATAAATAATTGAAATGTTTGTATTTCTAATTTCTCAGACTATACAATTTAAAACCACATAGTATATAAAGTCCTATTTAATTACAAATAATTTAAATCATAAATAGAAATTAAATCTAATGAAAAATGTAGTCAAAAGTTTGGACTCAAAACAAGAAAGTATATGAAATACGAGTACCGAAGGGAAAGTTTTTAGGGTTTAGTGAATGGCTTTAGCTTTAGATTCAAATGTAAGATATGAAAGGAAAGAGAAGTTCTTTGGTTTAGGCGTGAGATTGCTTTTGATGGGAGAGTGCGATACAATCGGTTCATAGAGTATTGTAATTTATATGAACTTCATTTAACTAATGATACTTTCTCACAAACTTAACAAATTATATTTTATTAATTATAAATATAAATTAATAAGGATTCTAATATTTTTTAGGTTTTTAAAATTTTCAATGAAATATTTAATAAATTCAAATTAAAAACTATTAATTAGATATATAATAATTATAATATATTTTTGAAATAATAAATTAGTTTGCTTAACTTGAAACTAAATATTAGATACCTACTGTTATTGATCAATATTTTGTCATTGATAAACGAAAAATTAATCACATACAAACTTACAATTAATTAAATATATATATATATATATCTGTATATACTGTGTGAGAAACAAACAAGTTAAATTATTAACCTTCAGTTCTACTAATTCTATATTGCTTTCAATTATACTAAATTAAATGTTAAATAGTTTAACTATTAAACTATTAGAATAACCATTTTTAAACCATTAAAATTATATTAAAAATGTTCCAGCACATTATATTAAGGTTAGATAAGAAATTGTGGGCTAGTAATTTTACTTACTTCTTAACTAATCAACAAATTCTTGATATTTGTGAGCTAATTTTTAAACCATTAAAATTATATTAAAAATGTTCCAGCACATTATATTAAGCTTTGATAAGAAATTGCGGGGTAGTAATTTTACTTACTTCTTAGCTAATCAACAAATTCTTGATATTTGTGAGCTTCTTGTAAAATACCGTAATTTACAAAAATCATAAAATGAACAGGTAAAAACATTTATTTGTAAATCAAACGTTTTATTAGAAATGGTTTTCGTTGTTCACAAATGTATGGATTAATACATTAAATGTAAGAATTAATAAGAATTTGATTATAAAATAAGTAACAATCAATCACTCACTCAATAAATTATTGGTCGGAATTGCAGTTCAAATCATTAATAATAGTTCACAAATGTATGGATTAATACATTAAATGTAAGAATTAATAAGAATTTGATTATAAAATAAGTAACAATCAATCACTCACTCAATAAATTATTGGTCGGAATTGCAGTTCAAATCATTAATAATAATTATATAATCTTAAAAATAGTTGCAATGCAAATACAAACAGCTCTCTAACAAAAACATCATAAGAATCGGTAGTAATAATCATAATTAAGATGATATTTATATAATAATATTGTAAAAGGAGATTCAAAATTCGTTAAAAGCAAACAATTTAGTCATTTTGAGCTAAAAATAAAATGAAAACCCAAAGAATTCATGTCTAAACAGAATTTTTAATTCTGGTTTTTAACCAAAATTAATGAAGAATTCAATTTTACACATGATTTCATTGAGAGTTCACTAAATTTTCAGAATAAGTACAATTTAAATGTCTTTCAAATACAGTATGTTTTAGGAGAATATTTAAAGACATTTTTGACACAATAAACGGTACAAAAACCAATACCTCGAAAACATAATAAAAAAAATAAAACTCAAGTGAAAAAATAGAAAATAAAAAATCATTTGTATAATAGATTGGACAAACAATTATGCTTTTGTGTAGACATAGCATACAAATTGAACGAAAATTGCACTGAGATTTTACACAATATTAAAATGCAACACGAAAAGCTTAAAATCATTAAAACAGTTCACAAATGTATGGATTAATACATTAAATGTAAGAATTAATAAGAATTTGATTATAAAATAAGTAACAATCAATCACTCACTCAATAAATTATTGGTCGGAATTGCAGTTCAAATCATTAATAATTATATCTTAAAAATAGTTGCAATGCAAATACAAACAGCTCTCTAACAAAAACATCATAAGAATCGGTAGTAATATCGGTAATAATAATTAAGATGATATTTATATAATCATATTGTAAAAGGAGATTCAAAATTCGTTAAAAGCAAATAATAATTGAGAAACAATTTAGTCATTTTGAGCTAAAAATAAAATGAAAACCCAAAGAATTCATGTCTAAACAGAATTGAAAACCAAAATTAATGAAGAATTCAATTTTACACATGATTTTCATTGAGAGTTCACTAAATTTTCAGAATAAGTACAATTTAAATGTCTTTCAAATACAGTATGTTTTAGGAGAATATTTAAAGACATTTTTGACACAATAAACAGTACAAAAACCAATACCTCGAAAACATAATAAAAAATAAAACTCAAGTGAAAAAATAGAAAATAAATTCAAAATAATTTGTATAATAGATTGGACAAACAATTATGCTTTTGTGTAGACATAGCATACAAATTGAACGAAAATTGCACTGAGATTTTACACAATATTAAAATGCAACACGAAAAGCTTAAAATCATTAAAACATTATATAATTAATAAATCAAGTGATGTTCATAAATGAGGTGTCGTTTGATACGTAAACTACAGTCAATACAAGTCAATAAAACTTCAAATATAATAATTATTTACAATTTAAAAATGGGTGAGATTTTTGTGCAACAAATTCATGTTAAAAATAAGAATCGTTTCAAAAAACATGAGATAATTATATATTAAGAAAACAATAGGGATTTGGGATTCGTTTGGTCGGTTCGGATCACTCTTTGGACAGACATATCATTGACTGAAATATCAATTTATGGCTTATCATTGACAACAGGAATGCACTCATTATTATCATACGATTTTCATAAACCCAAACAACAAAACGTTTTGAATAAAACGATTAAAAATAAAAAATAATTATATAATACTCTTCTCATTGTATAATACATTATATTATAGAAAATATATTTGTCAACACTTTCCAAAAACTATATCATATATAAACTTATAGCGCTTTTCCTACATATGGGTCGGTTTTATGGACAATGATTTTCAGTCAATGGCTTTTGTTTAGTTTTAAAATTTGTCGTTTTTGTTAAACATTTGTTTCATTAGTTTCATAATATAAACAATTCGTCAATTATTATATAATTAAATGTTATACTTATAACAACAATGGACTTAGAGAGAGATTCACCAGAATGACAACACTTGTAATGAGCAAAATAGTGAACACATGCCAGGCCTGACTGACTCGGGCGCCTACCGCTACCCGACAGGCCAGGGTGTCATACCGTGAGGGACGGCGTTCTTTCATATTCACGTACTCGGCCTCCAGTATCTGCCCGTCGAAGTACGTGATGGGGTCGTTGAATGGGTATTCGTATCCCTGTTCGCACTCACACTTATAGCCGCCGGCGTCGAACCTACGGCCCAATATGGGTACGCACCGGGAGGACAGTCGGTCGCACTTGTGGGTGTTCTTGAAGGCATTGGGCACCTGGTAGTCGTTGCCGCACTGGTTGATGTCCAGCTCCTCGAGCTTGACGCTGACGGCAACGACACCCTTGAACTCAAGGCGCGACTTAATCTTATCCCAGCCGAAGAAGGGCGCCGCGTATGTCATGAGCCACTGGTTGTGGAAACCGCCGCAATCGAAGTACGGCGACGCCCAGTGACCGTGTTTTAGCTCCGCGGCCTTGTATTGCAGCGGGTAGTGGTCGTATCGGATGGCATACAGACCGGTGCTGTTGTATCGGACGTTGATTTTGGTGGTATAGGTGCCTAAATCGTCGGTATTGGAAGCCCAACGCATTTTCAAGAGCTTAAAGTATTCGTGATTTAAATAAAACTGTTTCGAGTTGTGGTTGAATCGGGACATGTCGTCGACGAAGAACTTGCGAGTGTTTCGCTCCTTCCTGTAGGCGTACGGCGCGAAGTACGTCACGCTTTGGTTGAATTGGTTGCGGTCGAAGTATACGCCACACCCCAGGAGGCGCCGGTCGCCGATCACAGTGGCCAACGCCTCGCCTATGATCTGGTCCTGAGTGAGCGGTTTGTCGGGCACTCGGAATTCAGCGAACTGTTCCTTCGGGTCCACCACTTGAAGGAAGGCTGAGATGAAGTTAGCTAAACGGAGGGCCATTCGCGCCTGATTTTCCAACTGTTCCTCTTTGCCATAAGATATATCGCCTCTTAGTGTCAATATATCCGGATGTCTGAGTGACATCTCGTAACAGTTCTGAGCGTTGATCTCTTTGCGGATGTAGTTTGTGATCCAATTGGGATCCACACGAGTGCTGTAATTGGTGTGCGAGTGAAGACCTGTTAGTGTTTCCATTCGTTCAATAAATTTCTGGCGCTCGTATTCCTCGATGGGAACGACATTCTGTGTGCGGACAGCGATGTATCCAATTTTGTCACAATTATAACCCCGATTATACTCCGATTGCGTGGCTCTCTCAACCATTTCCCCCAAATACGGACTTCTGACCACATTTGGCAAACGGAAGCCTGGCTTACACCGGCACTGGTAGCCGCCCCGTCTAAACCCATAGCCGTGGATTGGCTCGCATTCAGTCGTCGCATTCTTACACCGGGCGGTACCGGCAAAGTAATTGGGCGCCGGATTCCCTTCACCTATTGGACACTGATTTATGTCTATTCTGTCGAAATCCACTTCCATTACAGCGACCGCAACATAACTGATGGATAAGACATCAAACATTTGTTTTCATTAAATAAAACAAATATTCATGAAATTAATAATACATAGGAATCTATACTATACATAGGAATCTCGATGTGTCGCCAACCGGTATGTCTGGGAAATATGTCAGGTATGGGAACAGTAGATCCAAACACCCATTTGTTAGAGCGGTCGCAGTCGAAGTACGGCTTAAACCACTTAACAGGACCGGGAATGTCGGAGGCGGCGGGAGGTCCGTGCCATACAAACGTCTCGTTCGTGCCGTTCAAGTGCGTGATCTGAACGGTGTATGTAGTCTTGGAGTCGTGGCGTTTGGTGAGGTCCGGCAGCCATAGTCTGTACCACTCGTTGATCTTATACTGTTCGTGGGTGTAGTTAGTGCTGAACGAGTTGTTCTGAATGGCGCCCAAATCGATGGCTTCGATGGTGTTGAGAGTGGATGTGCCCTATCCGGCAGCCATAGTCTGTACCACTCGTTGATCTTATACTGTTCGTGGGTGTAGTTAGTGCTGAAGGAGTTGTTCTGAATGGCGCCCAAATCGATGGCTTCGATGGTGTTGAGAGTGGACGTGCCCTGAAGATGGTAGGGGTCGTTGAAGTCGTCGGCCCTGAAGGCTCGCGGCGCGAACAGAGGCATCGTTTTGTTGAAGAAGCCCTTATAGGAGGGCGTGAACGCCATGTGCGGCCCGTAGTATATACTGCTGGCGTTGATGTAGCGATTGGCCGCCACGTCCGCGATCGACGACAAGAAGTAATACATAAAACCCGGTTCGGAGTCGTCCGGAGCCTTCTGCAGGATATAACTGATGGCAAACACAGAGACAAGACATAAGACATACAATCCACGGATCAGTTCATTACTGATGACTGTCTGAGTGACAGGCGATGATGACCGCCACTGAGGGGCGAAGTATACCTGAGATAGAAGGCACGGCTGAGAGCCATGTTGTGGATGTGCAAGAGGTTGGTCCTGTTGGGGAAGATGGGGTCGATGCCCAACCACTTGAGGTCCGGGATGTGAGTGACGGATGACTGCGGCAGGAAGAGCTCATTGATGTCCACCACTTTGCAGTTGTCTTCCACCACTTTGTCCAACTGTTTGCGGATCTCATCGAACGAATCCCTGGTCTGCCAATTGAACTGACCCTCGATGGTCACCACCAGTGATAGCAATGACAATAGGGTTGCGATTAAACTAATTAAACACATATTTAAAGACTAACTAAACGCTAATTGAATGCAAACTTAAATGATATGAAAAAGCATTTAATTATTAAATCATTTGTCGTTTGGTTTCATAGTTTGGTAACTAATTGAAAGTAAATTGAATGCAAATAATGATTAAAACAAACAAAAATTGATGAGATTTTGAAGCACTTCACTGGAAATGCAAAGGTATGGTAGGTATGGGCGGACACACCTATGCATGGGTTCAGTCATACAGTCATACAGTCTTTCAAAACACATTCAAAACATACAACAACTCAACACAGCGTCGACTCCACACAACAACTCAACTCTCTTTTCATCACTTTTTTCAATCAATTCCTACTTTTTTTGCATTCATTTCTCGCTTTATTTGATTGCTTTTAGAGTTTATGAATAACTGGTGGATATTTTATTGACATTTGTATGGTTCATAATTTGTTCTTGCTCAATCACTAACATATTGGCTATTCAGACCACTTAAATTTAATTTTTTAAATGATACTGTACCTTTCTCTCTCTCTCTCTCTCTCTCTCTCTCGCTCGCTCTCTCTCTCTCTCTCTCTCTCTCTCTCTCCTAAATGGTTCACGAATTCAATTGTTTTATATTATAATTTTTAGTAAAAAATAAAAAATCATAAATTAAATAAATATTGTATTGAAACATAAGAAATACAGTATATGAGAAAATCCATTTAGAAATTGAATACAAATACTAAAACCAATAGAAAATACAAAATGAATAAATAGATTACATATAAAAAAATTTAGACGACATTTATAGGGAAAAGTGGTCATTGAATGGTCGGTCACTTTACGGGAGAGCACTTCTAACACTTTTTGAATACAATCCTATGAAATACAATACAATACTATAGTTTTTTGTCTATAATCTAATTTCAATTATTAGGTCAAACCTTTAGCTCCTGGAGAAGTCCTGGAGGCGGGTGCGGTGGACTTCGCGGACACTTTTGATTTCTTTTCAGCCGACATACCGGAAGTGACGGCAGATTTTGAACTTTTCTGGGGTTCAACTGATTCACTGCGAACTGATTGAGACTCATCGACACCAGAATCAGAGGGAGGAGTCCCTGCTATGGCATCACACAAAACACTCATTTAAATCATATGAATGAATGCATATTAATATGTAATAGCAATCAATACTTTCCGTCTCTGATTTCTTATTTATACACAAAAACCAGGCAATAATGAGCGCAACAATTATAGCGATGATTACCACAATAACGATCACAATTATGATCCAGGAGCTACTACTAGTCGGTTCATTATTAGTCTTTCCATCAGTTGTGGGTTTGGTTTCAGTGGGGGTATTGTTACCATTTTCTTGTGCTCCCATGGCGTGAGGTGATCTTGGTGGTTTGCCACTATTGTCATCCTCTTCAGGCGCCATACCTGGCGGTGGCTTTTTAGGCCAGTCTTTGTCACAGTTTACGAGTTGTTTTTGCTTTGCCGGGTGGCACTAGAGCACAGGTAGTACAGCCGTAGGCACACCATTAAT